CTCCTGACTTCATGTTTCTTAAAGTTCGTACTGCAAGAGGGTAAGGGGTGCTATGGTTCCAGAATGTCCCCCAGCCCACAGTTAATCAGAATTTGTTCCATCTGCCTTCACACAGGGTGTACAAACTGGTAGACCAGCCGCTGGGAGATGTCTGGTTTCCGAATTATCCCTTTCTTGTAATATTGCCGAATGGAGCGGCTCAGCTTGTCATAGTTCATGGCAGGACGGTTCTTGCGGATTCCCCACAGCCGAGCCACTTGAGCAGAATCTTCAATTTTGAATATACCTGGGAAGCGAACATGAGGGGGGAAAGGAGAGAATGATATCACCTGTTTTAACCACACATTACAGCCAACCTAATCGTAGTCTGTTTACTGGCACTAATACAATGCCTTCGATCAGAAGACCAATTAAGCTTGTTTAACTAAAAAGAAGAAGAAAGGTTTCCAAAGATACATAAAAACTAAACATTCTGGTAGGGCTTCAAGGGTAGGTCACATTCTGCTCACAACAGTGGGAAGCACAATGTTAGCAACACGGAATGGCATCAGGTGCATCATCAGGGAAGTCACTGAGCTCTGAGTCCAGGCCAGCAAAGGCGGTCAGGCCTGTAGGAATGCCAGCCCCCAGGAGGGACCTGGGGATCCCCCAGTATTACAGCTCATCTCCAGACAACAGAGATCAGTTCCTCTGGAGAAAATGGATGAGAAGAGGAGCAGCAGCAGCAGATGGGATTTATTCCCCACCCTTCACTACCCGAAGGAGTCTCAGAGCAGCTTACAATCTCCTTTCCCTTCCCCTCCCCACAACAGACACCCTGTGAAGTAGGTGCAGCTGAGAGAGCTCTTCCAAGAACTGCTTGTGAGAGAACAGCTCTGAAGCAACTTGTAACTGACCCAAGGTCACACCAGCAGCTCCATGTGGAGGAGTGGGGAATCAAACCGGGTTCTCACAGATTAGAGTCCGCGCTCCTAACCACTACATCAAACTGGCTCTCTTTGGAGGATGGACTCTGTGTTGCGTAACCTGACTAAGGACCCTGACACTCTGTGGCATTGTACCCCACTGAGGTCCCTGCCCTCCCCAGACTCCATCCCCAAATCTCCAGAAGCTTCCCAACCTGGATCTGGCAACCCTACCTCCTCATCCCACGCCAGTGGATAGGGGGGACCTGCAGCAATCGCTCCAGGCGGGGATTGGCCCTGAGACACGACAACGCGGCGACGCTGCTTGGCCGGAGCCAATTGGACAGAGGCCAGCGCAGGAAGTCATCGCACAGTCGCAGACTATGGGAACTTCCCCGGAAGGAGCCGCTGTGGAGCCCGCCGAGACAAGCTTCCACCATAAGGAAAAGAACACACACGCTGGCGGGGTGCCTGGTAGGCACTCACCTCCCTATATATATATATATATATATACATTGTATGTGGCCCTAGTTAGGAAATGTAAAATACTTGTAAACCACTCAGAGCCTCTGGGATTGAGCGGTATAGAAATTGAAAGTATAAATAAATAAAACCCTAGGTCAGGGATTGCAGCCCACTGGCTGTGTATGCTAAAAGCACAGAACTACTGTCGATTGAGCATTTGCACAATAGAAATGGTTAGGGCATGAGCAGAAACTGGAAGGGAAAAGGCTGTTGCTCAGCAAAGGAAGCTGCTTAGGATTTCCCAGAAATAATGCTCACCTTTCTCCTTATTGAGCCAACGAATGAAACGTCCATAGTTATGGGGCTTCAGCAGAAGCTCTTTCAGAAACTGCCAGAGATGAATGGGCTGGCCTGAGCAGGATGAATCCACCTCATTGTCTGTCCAGTTCTCTTCACTCCCTATAGGAAGAAAGACAGTGGCTCCGATCATACACAGAAGTTGCCATGGGATACTCACGGATGCCGGGTGGATTTAACGGGCGCGATCACACCAGCACATCTGGCAAGCATCGCGCACCCGTTGGCAAGCCATCACATCCCGCTGAAGATCCGTAGTTCAAAGCTACTGTAGAAACACCAGTATTATCCGCTTGCGATGGGCCACAGATGGACGTCCTCTGTCTGATCGCTCCAGCGCCGCATGAAGCGCACCGGAAACGTGCGCCGACAAAATGCTACCCCCAATTCCCTGCCGTCGCATCTGATCGCATTCGGCCAGGTCACAAGTGTGGCGGAACAAAAAGCCACGCCTCCCCCCTGCGTTCTCTGGCCAGTGTGACCAGGACCCCAGTTAATTATCAGACTACTTCACAAAGGACTGGGTGTCCACACTGTTTTTCTGTTGCTCTTTGTTAACCCGATACTGTGATTTAAAACAGGCAGAAGTAAAAATGGCTACTGCTGCAGCTACAAGCACCATGTGGTTTACTGAACCTCTTTCTGTACTCCCAATAATAGCTTCCCATCTGCTTCCCTACTCTCTCCCTTTTTTGTGATTTGGGTATTAACGGCAACAGTGAGCTCACCACAATAATGCATCTCTCCAGGGGCAGTCTTCTCCTTCATCCAAGCAGCTGGAAGGCAAACATAAATGTCAAAGGATGGTCTAGTGGTCAGGCCCAATCCAGTCTTGGGCCCAGTTCCCCTGCTCCCAATGCACACCGCATATATTCTGTGACTGTACTGATGTCTCTCATACAGTTAGTCAGTGAGGCAGGGCTGTTTACCCAACCAGGTTTTACATCATGAGGCTTTTCTGTGCCATATTTGCTCCAGATTGGCTTCTTACCTGCATCAGGGTTTTCCCACCCTTACACACAGTTTTGTTTGCCAGTTGTTGCTCTTCCAGTTTTTCTCTGAGTTTTTCCTATGTTTTTTCAGGCCATCTTTGCAGTGGGCTGAAAAAGCATGAGAAAACTTGGGGGGGACGGGACCTCAGGGGAACAACAACCAAACAATACTGTGTATAAGAGAAAGGGGAAACTCAGTAACATTAAGAAGTCAAGTTGGAGCAAAAACCCAGTGTGAAAAAGCCCACAGAAACATTTAAGCAGCCTTAATCCAACTGATTGTAAAGGTAAAGGTAAAGGTTCCCTTGCTCGAAAGCCAGTCGAGTCCGACTCTAGGGTTGCGGTGCTCATCTCCGTTTCAAAGCCAAAGAGCCAGCGCTGTCCGAAGACGTTTCCATGGTCATGTGGCCGGCATGACTAAACACCAAGGCGCACGGAACGCTGTTACCTTCCCACCGAAGTGGTACCTATTTATCTACTTGCAATTTCTTGCTTTCAAACTGCTAGGTTGGTAGGAGCTGGAACTAGAGACGGGAGCTCACTCCATCATGCGGCAACTCAGGTCTTGAACTGCTGAACTATTGACCTTCCACAGCCTATAGTTCAGCGTCTTAACCACTTGAGCCATAATTGCCTGCATAAAGTCACCAAACAAGACAAGAAGCTAGTAGTTGCAAGCTGGTCCATTAGCACAAATTATTTCCCTTTCTATGTAACCTGCAGAGAATTATCCTGGTTCCCAGAGATATTTGAGAGGTGCACAGGTGCTGCAGGACAGCAAGAATATGACTCTGCTGCTGCCCAGGGTTCAAAAGAATCATTTTAGCTGTGGTCTCCTCCCAACTGTATCAGAAAGGCACCTGATTTCCAAATGTCCAGGTGAGCATGTAAGACATCGCCACATGCTGGGGATCGCTGACGGAACTGTTCCTCAGACATGGTACATACATCCTTCCCAGAAAGATCCTGGAATGATTTCCCAATCTGGGGCAAGCGATATTGGTGTTCAGTCCACAAGATCCACTTCTGGACGTTCCCT